AGCGTTGCTAAATCTCGACAAGTGTATAATTAAAGCTGTAAACCTTGTACATGACTATTATTAAGATCAATTAAATTTGTTGACACTTTCAACAACTTTTAGCTCATATATATTTATCGTAAACATTTATTATATTTGCCACGAATGTTTCTTCAGTTCAGGATTTTTAAAGTTAAAATTCTTTTGGGACGTATGGAAAAAATAATATGATAGGGACATGATGAAGTTGGTTGCCAAGCTTCACGGTGTTACCATGGCAACCAATAACAACTTTTTGACATATAATACCAAAGCCGTCAATCAATCATCAATTGATTTTAATGTTTTTGTCACAAACAAATAATACTGGCAAAGGGAAGAGAATTTTTTAGTCATTTTTTGTTACGCTAAAGAAGTATTACTTCTTACGTGCGTTCATGAGCAAACGTTCGGAACTTTAGAACTAAAGGATCCATGCGCGTCAAATGAAGTATAAATTCAAAAACAGTTCGATGACTACCATGTTAAATTTATTATTATTATAGTTACTAGCTGCTGCCTGCGACTACTTCTGCGTAGAATAGGCTGAAGGCGTAACATTCAAACAGAAAGACAGATAAACATAAAATATGTATATAATTTATAGCTTATGTCTTATTCTGATGTATAAGCTATGTTATTGTAAAGTTTCATTAATATCCATTCAGTAATATTTGCATGAAAGAGTAACAAACATCCATCCATACATACAAACTTTCGCCTTTATAATATTAGTAAGGATTATATAGAGCAAATAGATTTTGCTTACTATGCTAAAAAAATCAGAAATATTTATAGGATGTAAATGTGGAATTTTCTCATAAAATAGTAAACTAAAAGATAGCGTACTTTTGTTTAGTCTACTTTGTTTATATCCCGATATTACCTACTTATTTACATAGACTGGGTGCTCGAGGTGCCTTCAGCGAGTGTTCATAGAAATTGAAGTATAACGTAAGTCCGAGAACTCTCAACGGTACAGTGTTTTCCTTGCTGTTACATGGAAAATGCAGATCGCGACGAGAAAGCCAGACAATGAGTTCGTTAGTCTCTAGTACACTCCGCCGGAGAGCGTCACTCCACGAGTTTTCCGCACTCAACTGATGTACATATCTAATCTATATTCGCGGGCCGCATACATAGCATGGCCCCTGCTCGCTACCGCATAAAGGGCAGAATTGAACGTACCTTTGCAAACGCCACTAATGTGCGTACTTCATCGCTTTGATGCTTCCGCGGAGACGACCCTTGGAAACCGCGCTTTTTGACAGTTTCGAAAATTAAAATACTTCCACCCGTTTTTGTATGTTTTTTTTTTAAAATTTCAATTGTAATGTTTTGTCTGTATTCATTATGTGTTGTCTATGGACGCAGCCGCGTACGCATATTAATTGCGCAGTCATTTGCTTATTTATCATTTTCGTGTAGTCCCCTCATTAGCGACGTTTCATGAATTACAAAATCCTCAGCAATGTAGGGCGCTGGGTTTGCTTTTCTCAGACGAGCACAAAAATAATTCTTTACAATTTTATACAGCCAGAATAGTTCCAGTTGGCTATAAACATTTACTACTACACCCGCAAATGAAGGAAAATATTGCAATAATATGATGTATGTACTTAAACATAAAATATGAAGTCATTTAATATGACTTAAAATTTACATTTTACATATTTTTTTTATGCAAAAAGCTGCCAAACGAGCAGACGAGTCGCCTGATGTTAAGTGTGAACCTTTTGAAAATTGGACTCCGGCTACCTCACTCGCCAGACGAAACGCGAAAGTATTTGTCATACTTCCACTTTACGCTGGTCTTCTGTGAGGTCGTGGTACTTACCCGGGCCTGCCCGTTCGTGCAACAGCCGGGGCCGCTGCGTGGCCCTACCACCGTAGAGTTATACCCACATATTTTCTGATGTCTTATTTATAAATTGACATCCTTACCGGTATAACCTTACTTAAAAGCAACAATAAAGTTCACGAGCCCGAATACTTTTTTACAACAAAAAGTAATGTAAAATACAATATCAATATTTTTACCATTCATAATCATTTTAAAATGGAATTTTTGATTATATCTATCTTCATATTTTTCTACTATGAAATAGTTGTAGTTTAGGTACATATAGTAAGACCTGAACGTAATGAGTGGTTTCATTTAACTTATTAATTGTACAAAACAAACATGTAAAACGTTATGATTCATTATTATTTCATAATAAATCATAACGTTTTACATGTAATAGAATTGTTTTGAATATTTACTTATTATTATCCTTATTTACACTTATTTGTAGGTATGCAATTCTCATCATGTCCAAGATTGAATTAAAACTGAAAAGTACCTATTCTTTTATGCGTTAAGAAGAAATCAATAAAGTTTGAACCTGCGGTTTTCTTTTTTGCTTTGCTTTAAATTTTAATAATAATAATAATATACTTTATTGTATACCAAAAAATAAAAATAAAAATGTGCAAAAAACATTATTTATCAAATATTGGTCACCAAAAGGCGGCCTTGTTGCTACACAGCAATTTTTTCCAGGCAACCTTCTAAATTTACCAAAAGGAATTGTTGATGGGATGAAGGAAATAAAAATAAATAAACAATAAAAAGAAAGTAGCACTCAAAATTAAATTAATAAGAAAAACATACCTCATGTAAATAATCATAGAGTTAAGGGTGAAATGAAAAGGGATGGAGAGAGACGTCGAAAGATAGAGAGTAGCTAGACAGACAGATTTACCTGTTTTTTAAAAGAATGTAGGGTTTGAGCACGTTTTATAGACATAGGTAAAGAGTTCCAGAGTTTAACAGCAACAGCAGAGAAGGATTTGTGGTAAAAACTGGAGGATTGCGTAGGATGTTTAAGGAAGAGGTTTTAATTTGAACGTAGAGGAAGGTTATGAGAGTAGCAAAGAAATTGAAAACGTTCTTTCAAATATTGCGTACTTGAAACGTTAAATAGGACGCAGCATTTTAGACAAAGTTTTATGAAAACAACATGACATGAAGCACAACACAGGATGATGTCCGGTGGTGTGAGATAAAATTGCTCATTACAGTTAAAACTACTAATTTAACTATTAAAAAGAAATCGATAGGGCTTTTTCCCAGTAGTGGGACAAAACTATTTGGGTTGTTACTTTACTTTGTTTTTACTTTTCGCATGCTAGGTCTACCTTACATACTGTAGTTTTTTATGTGAAAAGTTGTGAAGCGAGCAGGCGGTTCTGATGATAAGTAAAGACCGCCGGCCATGGATATCTGTTACACCCGAGGGTTTGCAGATGCGTTGACAACCCTTTTTAAAATTGGGCTCCGGCTACCTTAATCACCAGATGAAACGCGAAAGTAGTAAAGTAGTAACACATATAAGGTAATGAGGCTTTCAATGCTGGCCGCATGAGGAAGCTCAATGTCGCTCAGCGAGCTAAGGAGCGAGCTATGCTTGGTATTTCTCTGCGTGATAGAGTTCGCAACGAAGACATCCGAAGAACAAAGATAACGGACATAGCTCAGAGGATTACTGGAATGGCGATGGGCCGGCCATATGGCTCGTAGATCCGATAACCGTCGGGGAGAAAGGTTCTCGAGTGGCAGCCTCCTAGTAGCCATCGCAGTCGTCCTACGACCCCCATTCCATCTAGTGGGGGTCGTCCTACGATCTGAGGTATTCCACAAGTTCTCTTTAGCCTCGGATATATACTTCAAAATACCCATATTAGTCTTATCATTTTTAATTCCATACTAATGAACGGACTTCCATGTAAACTATAACCATTATGTTGTTATTTCTTTGATCGTGCTTAGTATTTCTATTGTATAATCATATCAATGTATGATGCGTACAATAATTTAATTAATTTTATTTTCGTATACAATTATGTATTAATTACATTATTAAAATAAACGTACATTTAATCGTACGTTTAGAGCTGTGGTTACTCAATCTCTCGCTTTTAATTATTGAGTTAACAGATTTGCAATTCCGGTACCGGCACCGAAGAAATTGTTATTGTAATAAACGAGTGATTTTAAATGATCTTGATATCGAACGTAGCGAAACGGCACTTGATGATGTTCTCTCGATTTTGAAGGAAAAATATCGAAAGGAAAAATGCATACCTAAGAAAGAATTAAAGAATTTCTGCAAATCTAGGATGTGGTTGACGATATATTCCATAACACCTTCTGTATAGAAGCGGGTTTTGCTCAGCATAAGGCATGTGACTTTACTCACACTTTACTCACACATTAATAATCATACTCGTGACTTACCACGCAACAGCTTTCGCTATAACACGGAAGGGCTCACGGAAATCCGTCGTGAAGTGAAAGTGTTACAGTTTGCGTCTGTTGATTAAGGTAACCGAGGTCCATTTCATTAAGAGATAGCAACAACCCTACAGGTGTTGCAAATGTCCAAGGGCAGCGGCTATCACTTAACATCAGGTGAACCCCAACTCGCTGGCCACCTGCTCACATAAAAAAAGGATATTAAAGCGTAGACTTTCACTTTTACCCTTTTCAAAAGTTTTGCCTTTTACATTCCGTTTAATATTAATCAGAATTTTATTTATTCTTGCGATATACTGCTCAGTCACCAATGATAAATGCGACATCCAAATGCATTGGTGCATGTCATAATTTGAATCTATACCCGCTTAATACTCCATTTCAGTTCAATAATAAGCGCCCAGATGTACGAGTACTTACATTTGTCACGATTGTAAAGATAAAACAGATTATCGTTATCTTTTACGTACCAAAATTTAGGTGCACTGTGTATGTATCTATGCAACTTGTCTTTAAATTGTACAAATCATAATATAGATAAAAAAAATTTATGCATTATTAATGTAGTTTTTTTAGGTTGAAAATAAATAAAACTTCCGTTTAAGATTCTTACACATTCTTTTTATTACTATCATAACTTAATAATTCAACAATATAGACTTCGATTTGTCGAAAATATTCAGTAAACAGAACAATTGAAATTATGCACGAAATCATTCCATTTAAAGTGGAAGTTGCGGAGGGCGCGGAACTTGGCTTCGGTGTCGAGGGCACTGTATTTTAACGAGTTAATGGCCAACTGTTTGAGCATCCTGAGATCGGACAGTCTACTGGCTACAGAGACGAATGCTACGTAAAAGTCTTCAGACAATGGATCCGCCTCCCATACCCCGGGGTCGTCGCTAGACAATACCACCGGTAGCCCCTGCGCGAGGAACGAACTCAACGGATGATTCCTCGTGTCGCGCACTAACGATAGAACACTGTTCGATATCACGTTGATCTCAAGGCCTATGTCCCTCTTGAGCACTTCGCGCAGAATCACCGGGTGCTTGGGGAGCGCGTACGCGTGGCCTATACGCTTTGCTCCGAGCAGCATCGCATCGACAAGGTTCTCGTCCGTCAGAGTGCCGTACCAGTCCGTCTCGCCCGCGTGGAAGAAGTAGTTCAGATGCGGCGCGATTTCGAGAAGCCGCGGCACGAACGCTATCAACGGGGTGCCCAAATCCTCCTGCCCCACCAGATCGAATCCGGCGAAAGCTTCGGGCATAGTTCGCTTGATCTTCTCCGCTAGAACGATATACTCCTCCAATTTCTCGCGGCTGACGTGCCTCGACGGTGCGTATATTAGTTTCGCGCCGGCAAAGTCGCGGTAGTCCTTCATGAACTTCTTTATCACCTTTGTGTAGGTTCTCGCCGTGATCAACGGGTCGTAGATCGTTCCGTCCAGTTCGTATAGATTAGGGAGGATGCTCCTCACTTCTACGTACATGACGTTGTCTTCTCTGAACTTCATAAGAGCGTCATAGAAGTACTGCTCCCACACCGGCCTGTACGAAAGTAGCGGGACGACCGTTTTAAAGTATTGCATGAAAGCAGCCCACGTTTCTTCAATACTTGGGTAGACCGCGTCTGGGTCGTTTGTTACTAATGTGAAATGTCTCCTCAGTTCGGCGTCGAACTCGGTCAGATTTTTCGAGGAGTTCCTTGCGTCTGCCGTGAGCTGCCATTGACCGTCGCAGGGAGCGTTGGGGGTTTTGTTGGCGAAAACAAATTGTACGTCACTACCAAAGCAGACATACAAATTGTCGAGATAGGTTACGTTCATCATATAGTCGGCGGCTAGAAGCCCCATGTCGTGAACGTGAAGCGCGGCCCCTTTTGGCATGTCCTTTATTATCCTGTACACTTTGGAGGTTCGGATGCTGTCTTTGTATGCGAAGAAGCTGTGCGAACTGTTAAAGTATCTCGGGTGGTCGAACCAGTAGTCGATTTCGTTGAACTTGTGCCCCATCAGGCAGTCGTTGACCGCAACTTCCGCATCGCTCAGGGTTATGCCTCCGCCGACCGATAAAACGGCTTCCTCTTGCAGGATCTTGAATCGCTTATCATAGTACTCTGTGAGGTCGGACGCCCATGCGGTGTAAATAAACAGTAAAATTATCCCACGCATGTTGTGCCCGTTCGGACGTACGCGCGTGTCCAACACTTGATACGTACTAAATTACAGCGCGCATTGACCTCTAGCAACGTCGACAATGCACAATTAAAGTACAATGGTAGTGCGTGTTTTCGATTAGCTTTATATTTAAATTAGTTTGTTATTACGTTTAACGTAACGACGATTAAAGATTAACACCGACTGCTAATCCTAAAATGTTTTGACGAACCTGCAATTGTAATTAAATGGTTATTCGTATTATCGCTCAACATTAGCTGAGCAATCACTTAAATAATTATTATTTTTTTTATTTTAGGTGTAATTTTTAAGTAGCTTTATTAAGCTGTAAATTTCGACTCGCTGATGTATTGTTTTCACGTATGAATAAATTTTTGCTGTTATTTTAATAACTAAAATCCAATATTGATATTGAAACTAATAAGCTTTACGGTTAAGTTTAATTCAGTGCCTTTATTTTTGAATTGAACTGCACTTTTTGCGTCTTTTCTCAGTATTAAAAAGAAATAAGTGGCGAATACACAGTCTGTAGTGTTTAAAAGCGCTCGATGCACAATGGGAGTAAAGATGTGTGTCTGAATTATTTTGATGGAACACGTTGTGTAGCGTTTTAATTCATACTGCAGACTAAAAACGGAGAGAATTGGGGTGCGTCCTTTGTTCGCGAGATGGTTCCGCGTAGTGTCATTCATAAACTTTGAGGGAGTCGTAATTAGAAGATTAAAGGGAAAGGCGGGTGTGATTTTACATGCGGAACTTCGATGGCACACGTGAATTTCTCGTCGCCGCCATCTTTTTTTCTTCTTTTTTTTAACGAATGCGTGGAGCGGGGCGGTACTGCCAAGTACCACTTAATCCTACCCCAACCCTTTCGTTTCACAAAATCAGCATGGCGGATGAGGCGCGGCCTTATATTTCTTTTCGGTTTTATTTTTTAGTTTCTTTAAAGCGCTGCTTTGAAACCGAAACCCCTTTACGTAGACGCCGCTAGCTGTAATTTACACCGTTTAAAGCATAAGTTTTTTTTATAACTCGATATTGCTCTATAGGCTTTTGAGATTGCATTAGTGATGTGCCAACGTTCTTTTAATTATGGTACTTAAACAATTTTTTAACAATCTCATATATTAATTTAAATCCAACTTTATTTTATAATTACTAGGCTATGTATTTATAAAGAAGCAATATCTTTACTGAGTTTTGTAATATTTGTTAAAAACTTTTCTATAAATCTGGATCAATATTTTGCTAACACTAAACTTACAGGTTAACTCTAGACAGCAAATCAAATCAAATCAAATCAAATCATTTATTTATCGAAATAAGCAATATTAATTTCATTTATCGATAGTCATTTTTTAAATCTACCATCGTTTCGTAATGAGGTTCCTCTAACGGAGAAGAAACAGGTGAAAGAAACTCCGTATGTATCCTATTTTTTGTCATTTTTTTTTCAAACAAATACATTGTTACACAGTAAATATATATATTTTTTAGAAACAGCTTAGGAGAGATCGTGTCATTCCCAGGGGTTATTATCGTTAATGTATTCATTTATATTATAATAACCATTTTTAAAAAGCTTTTCTTTAATAAATTTCTTAAACCTGTAAATAGATAGGCTTTGCACATTAACTGGGATTTTGTTGTAGAAGCGTATACACCGTCCCATGAACGAGTTACTGACTCTATGGAGTCTAATAACTGGCGTTACAAGCTTGTGTCTGTTCCGAGAGTTTTCATTATGTACATCAGTATTCTTATTAAAATTATTAATGTTTCTATGTACATACGTTACATATTGAGAGGCCAAGGTTAAAATATTTCTTTCTTTAAATTTCTCTCTCAGAGATGATCTCTAGATTGTAAATTGCTGTTGTAGCCCTTTTTTGCAAAATAAATATTGTTTCAATATCGGCTGCATGTCCCCATAGCAAAATACCGTATGACATTATGTTATGGAAATAACTAAAATAAACGATTAAGCGATTAATTATAAAGAGCCGTGATAGCTCAGTGTCCGGGCGTCGCCTTTAATTCAATATACTCGAGCAACCTGAGTTCGATCCCCGGTGCCGGCACCAATGAAGTTTTTAACTTTAAGTGCTGACTTATCACGTGCTTCGCGGTGAAGGAAAACATCGTGAGGAAACCTGCATATTTTCGAAATAATAACAAAAAAAATATATATTTTGAAAATATGTGAAGTCCGCCAATCCGCAGTGGGGCCGCGTGGTGGACTATGCCCTGATACCCTCTGTATAGAGGAGGCCTTTGCCCAGCAGTGGGACATGTATAGGCTGTTACTTTACCTTACTTTTAAACGATTCTAGCTGTATTTCCATCAGTCAGACATCTTATTTTCCTTACGGCATATACTGCAGAACTTAATCTTCTCCCAAGTTTGGATAACAATCTTCTAATTCTTCTAAATTATGGTAATGGTGATTTGTATCCAATTATAATATTATTTTCATATATATTCTCTTTAATTAAAATTTTATTATTCTTGCATCTTTTGCTGCACCTACCATAAACTCTCACCACATCCTGGGTTGACTGGTAGAGAATGCCTTTGGGCATTAAGTCCGCCCTTTGTTACCTTGTTTTACTGAAGGTTGGCAATAAAGATTTAAAAAAAAAAAAAAAAAAAAAATGAAATTAGTCAAAGTAGACACAAACGTGTTTTCTGACTTGTACCAAGAATTAGTAATTTAATCGGTACGAAGGAAATCGTAAGACGGACAACACTTCGCGTAAATCCATATCGTTTTGAATACGATCCGATTACAAAAACAACCAGTAGTGGGAAGGCGACTGCTGGCATAACTATTATAACGATGTTTACGTTAGAACTTTGTAAATAACGCGCTCGCGTGTACTCTAATATACTCGTGATAAGAACCTATTAAAGTTTTGTCCATTGACGGTTCGTTAGCCTATATTTAAGTGATATAAAAAAAATCATGTGAAAAATGGGCAAGCGAGCAGGTGGTTCATTAAATCATCATTAAACGATAGCCGCGGCCCATGAACAGCTTCGACACCTGAAGGCTTGCAGTAAAGTAAAGTAAAGTAACAGCCTATACATATCCCACTGCTGGGCAAAGGCCTCTTCTATATAGAGGGTATCAGGGCATAGTCCACCACGCGGCCCCACTGCGGATATGGGGACTTCACATATCTTCGAAATAATTTTTTTTTGTTATTATTTCGAAAATATGCAGGTTTCCACACGATGTTTTCCTTCACCGCGGAGCACGTGATAAGACAGCACTTAAAGTTAAAAACTTCATTGGTGCCGGCACCGGGGATCGAACTCAGGTTGCTCGAGTATTTTGAATTAAAGGCGAGCGCCCAGACACTGAGCTATCACGGCTCTTGGCTTGCAGAAGTAAAATAAAATAAAAAATAAAAACGTTCGTGGCACTACCATAGTTAAGATATTATAAAGTTATGGAATATTTTTTTTTTGTTTCGAAAACATTAAACAATAGATTCTTAAAATCGAAACAGTAATTAAATTTCGCTTCATTTGCTTTATTTCACCTTTAGGCTTCAACTCGCTATATAAAGATTTCGTTATAAATATCGATAAAATAAACATCGAATAGAGTCATGGACTAGCGACCAGTGTAGCTGTTCTGCGACGGCAATTGTTTATACTACGTGACATCATTATGGAACTAGTGAGCGGATTCTTTCGTCTAGCTTTTCAACAGCCGTTGATCTGTGCTGATACTGTCCGCCAAACTCGCTTTATCAACTTATCGATCACACAATATCGCTTGGCACGTTTATGTGTCAATTTCAATTATTTATCTATCGTATTCCTCTACGAGAAATCAGTCGCTATTATGCCCTGCATACGTGAGGTAATATTGTCTTCGTATTAAATGCAAAGTAACGACATTCGACACTACAACCTCGTTCCGATTAAAAGCTATTTAAATAGTTCGTTTTAATATTTAGACCGTCAATAATGACTGACAAGAGGACAGTGATCATTTGTGCGTTGATGGGCAGCTCGCTCCTGGTGTTGTCCGAAGATGTAATCGAAACCACTTTTAGGAAGAGGCAGAATCTCCTACAGAGAGAGCTGGACGCGATGGTAGGGAGTGACATAGTTCTAAGTGATAGTGAACAGAAGGTTAACGAGATCATAATGGACCTAAAACTGAGCGAATTAGACTTCGGCTTCAACAACCCGCAGCATTTCAATTATTCAAAGCATTTCTTCGATTATAAGGAGGACGTGAGAGAGTCAAGCCTGTTTAAATTGATTCGACAGATGCCCAAAGGTGCAGTATTACACGCGCACGACACAGCAATGCTAAACGCTGAATACGTGCTAAAATTGACGTACTGGGATAATTTGTACGTTTGCTTCATAGGGAAAAATTCTCAATTCCTTTTTTCCGAAGATCTTCCGACGTCTTTCTGCAGAACCGAATGGCAATTAGTTAAAGATGTTAGAAATAACTCGGGAAACGTTGAAAAATTTGACGAGGATCTAAAGAAACAATTTACTTTAGTAATCGATAAACCCAAAGAAGCATATTCCGATATTAACGTGGTTTGGGACAAATTTCAAAATTACTTCATCAACACCATGGGGTTGTTTACATACAAGCCTGTATGGGAACACTATTTCTATGATACACTGAAAGCTTTGAGGGATGATAATGTAATGTACCTGGAAATACGTAGTGTGTTGCCTTCATTGTATGACTTACAGGGAAATGTGTTCGATTCCATAGCCACCGCAGAGTCCTACAAGACTGTCCTGGATATATTTATGAAAGATTTCCCGGATTTCTACGGGGCCAAACTAATTTATGCGCCGCTGAGACAAGTCGATAGTAAAACGGTAAAAGAGTATTTAAGAACTGCAAAACTTATTAAGAAACAAATGCCAGACTTCCTGGCTGGCTTCGACCTTGTTGGACAGGAGGACTTAGGGGCGCCGACGAAAGACTTCCTGCCCGAATTGATGGAAGCCTCGACTGAGATCAGCTATTTCTTCCACGCTGGAGAGACTAATTGGTACGGAACAACGTCCGACGAAAACCTGGCAGACGCGATAGTGCTAGGAGCCCGGCGGATCGGACACGCGTACGCGATAATCAAGCATCCATTGCTTATGGAGGAAGTGAAGAAGAACGGCATCGCTTTAGAGGTGAACGTGATTTCGAATGCGGTTCTCAAGCTTGTTGACGACTTGAGGAATCACCCGCTGGCGTCGTTCTTGGCTCACGGGTTGCCAGTGGTGATATCGAGTGACGACCCCGGACTTTGGGACGCGGAGCCTTTGTCCCATGACTTTTACGTAACTTTCCTCGGTGTTGCCAGCAGGCGCGCTGATCTGAGGCTCCTGAAGAAGCTAGCGCTGAATTCCCTCTACTACAGCGCCATCTCGAACAAGGACAAAGTTGTACACGAGTTCAATATACGCTGGACTAAGTTTATAGACGCAATCGTCAGGGATAAGTGGTAATGTTTGCAAAAACGTCGCTCACATTTAACACACAAAGTACTCGAACGATTTTTGACATAGTACTAATAACATATTCATTTTCGAGGTTGTTCACCTATAAATTCAGTGTTTGATGGTAATAACGATTACAGTTTTGCAATAATTGTTAATTTAATCGCGATTTATTATCCGATCAAATTATATTGATAAGTTTGGTAATTTCAAGATTAATGTTACCGGTAGGCAACATTGCTACGATAACACATTTAATATGTTATGGCAGTGAGTCGATAAGAGAATAGTAATGTTATCTTAAATATGTTATTTAATAATAGTAAATGAATCTTTATCAATTTCTCATAACTTTTTCACTTCTAACCATACCGATTGTGTTCGCGTCTGAATCCAGGAAAATTTATATTAATGCTTGCATCATTTTGTACAATTCAATTTGTACATTCATAAATGGTATTAGGACGGTACATTCGTAATCGCATTAGTCATAATAGTCCTAGAAGTATACATCGAATTGTGTCAGAATCAGTAAACTTTAATTAATTGTTGTACAATATTAAACTTTGTAAGTTTTTAAAGCAAAATTTTAATACAACTTTACAAATGAAGAAAAAAATATGATCAATTATTTTAAATAAAGTTCCAGCCGTAGATTTGTAATGAAGAATTATTCATTAGTTTAACATAACCTGCTGTGTTCGTGTCAATTTTAGTGACCGAAACATTTTTACGTAAGTAATAAGAGATGTATGTAAACAGCTGAATAACACAACAATATAAGTGCAATACGAATTACCACATATAATTAAAAACGTCCAAAGACAACAGACACGTCGTTTTCATTATAAAATTCAATTTACTTATAAAATTCAAATTAATTTAAAATTTTACCACGTGTTTTTATTATTATATTTTTCTTGTCCTAGAAAAACAAAGGTTTAAATTTAGACGTGGACTCTTGTATATGTAGTTGTATGTTGTATACGACGTTTGACGCTTTATTATTTCACGCTCCTCATTTATGACTTTCTACCAATTAGGAGAATGCGCTTCGTTTAAAACTGTCTCGCTTGGTGTCATGCAATCACGCCAACTTCCAAAACCAATGGGTTATGGCCGATTTGTAGGTGCAAGCGTAAATTAAGATGCCCATTTAATTGTTTACTACAGAGTAATCTGCTGTAATATATTCGATTTATTATTATTCAATTTACCGAACAAGTTTCGGAATGATATTGCTGGCTTTTATTACTCGCAGCTTGGTCCAGGTGACATAATAAGTTTTGGTTTGGTGCAGTTTTCTTGTTTTATTACCGAAATTGAATTTCAAACTGTGAACGCTATCTGATATTGTGATTAATACTCTCTATATGATTAGTATACGTTTACAGCCAATTTGAATGGCAGGTGAGCGTAGCTCTGAGCATTCAATTGATAAATTCACGCCTCTATTAGCGCGACTCACGAATGATTGCTCCGTATATTTATTTCCGTATATTGTTTCGTAACTGACTAGCTGCTGCCCGCGACTACGTCTGCGTAGAACAGACTGAAGGCGTAACATTCAGACAGAAAGACAGATATACATAAAAATGTATCTAAAATATAGCCTATGTATTATTCTGATGTGTAAGCTATATTATTGTAAAGTTTCATTAAAATCCATTCATTAGTGTTTGCGTGAAAAGTAACAAACATCCATCCATACATACAAACTTTCGCCTTTATAATATTAGTAAGGATGTTACGTTTTCAGTCCTTAGACTATTAAAGCTTCATAGAACGCAGAACCGGTGGGCTAGTCAGAAGCCACGCTTTGAGGTCCTCCTCAGTGGGTAGAGCCGCGCATGTACTCATGCGTGCGTTAGTTATCGAGGTTCGGTGTACCCGATGGCCGTTGACTGTGCTTAGCTGTGGGCCTTGAACGCGGATGTGTCTAGTGTACGCGTTATGGCAGCTGAAAGAGCGGTTAACGCGTGCGGACCGTCTCTCATGGATGCTTACAATACAATAAATTCTGCAGATACGTTGCCAACCGTTAAGAACATTTGAGGAGAAACACAATGGTATAAATATACATACTTTTGTGTTTCTCCGCTTATTGTAATGCCAGTGTTGACAGAACATTGTTGTTGTACTTCCATATTCGCACTGCGCCATTTGTGTACATCGACTCATATTTAAGATGTTGCTCTATCATGGTGGAGACTCAAATTGCAACGTATTGTAAAGGGGCTCTATGGTTATATTAAATTATCAATAAAATTTCTAGTTAATATAACATTTTACTATGGTAACACTTCAAAGATACCTTTTCAAGAAAGATCGTCATGGTTATGTGTTGCTTTTAAATACATCGCCCTCCACGATGAAGATATAAGAGTAGATATAGGTAGATACGTTGAATACGTTTTAGTGCGTTTTAGTTTAGTGCCGGCTAATTAAGACGCGTTCACACGTCCCGCGTCGTTTGTCAGCGCGGCCGTTAGGTGTTACACTAATTGCTGTCAAGCGCTCTGCCCTCAGATTTATTGCTATGGGAAATGTGGCGGTTTGCGTTAGATATTTTTCGTTACATCTTTATTTCTTTATAGTCTACGGCAACGACGACACAGTTGCTGTAATGTTGGATTCCGCCTTGTGATATAAGTAGGTGGATTCGAATCCCAGTGGAGGCTCATATTTACGCTCTTGCATGGCGACAGCCTTCGACACCTGTCGAGTTGTTGGCACAATGAAACTTGGAGTGAAATATATTTTTATTTTTATTTTGCTCTGTTTTGCACCCATCCATAGTTTCAGTTTCCGGTTTTCAATTAATAGAAAAGAGTAATACTACAATAACTACAAATTTTATAAAAAGCGGGTACCTTAATCATAAATTGCATGCGTAAGTTCAAATCCCAGCATATCTAAGAGGTATTAAAAGAATTCTGTTTGCCCTGTCACCATGAACACTGCGACATATTAGAATCTTCGGGCTTTTAAAAACAAAATAAAAAAAAACAATACAATTTTATTTTAAAATTATAATTATAAAAAAAAACTTATGTGAGTACTAATTTACGCACGTAAAATTTAATAAAACCCTATATATAATAATACTGTATTAATTATGCTAATTATGTTTACTACTACTGGTAAACATATTTCATTTTTAACATTTTAAGGTTCTGACACATTGCTTATATATGACTCATGAATGAAGGTACTTCATGTGGTGTTAATTTCATGTTGCTGTGCCTGTGCATCGTAAAAATTCATTCCCATAATTTTTTCCCCACATATCGCCAAAAGTAGATATAAGTTCAAAAAGCATTTTAACGGATATAAAAGATGTTCCACTATAGGGCTGGGATCTTTGCCCGGAGTGTAATCTGTCTTGGTATTGGCAGATCTTTAATTTTTACTTTTACTTGAATGGTAACTCTGGACATAGTACACTAGTTGAATTGCTAAATGAGTCACACATTCCACTTTTTCGAATAAAAAATATCTTACACACTTTACAAGGTATAAACGGGTTAAGGAAGACCTATTTAGCACTTGCATAAATTATGTATACTTGATGTGATGTCAGCTACTCAGTATGCATTATGTATGCTTTTTTTTTACGTGGGAAAAATCCTTTATGGATCCCCCGCCGCCTTGTGGGTAGGCAGCAGGAGTAAGTGGGAGTTACACGTACCCACTAAAAACCCACGTTGCACCTGCGCTATCGCTTTGCCAGGGACACGGGAACACGAAAACGCAATCTTCCGCGAACTGACTGCGCGACTGTGGCCTTCTAAGGCCTCCTCTCTCCGGGTCTTTAGACACCCGATCCAGCCAAATGGTGCCGCATCGGGGCAATGGACACGGCACCCCTCTCAAGCCCTCCGTGGGGCAGCAGTTGGTCCCACATCTGCCGCCCCTGGGCTTGCTATCAGGGGAGAAGGTTGCGCCCGTAGGCCAGCCTCCTGCGCCCTGGTCTCCGCCGGCGGTTTTCCAGGGTGGCAGTTGCCTCCCTTTCCCTCTCCGCTGCCTGCTTCCGGGTGATTGTGTCCTCGCAGAATGCAAGGACGGCACCCCACGACCTCTCGCTGTCCACGCATTATGTATGCTTAGCGTAACCTATATTTGTCATCACATCAACTAGTCTATAAAAATGGAATAAAATCAGGAACGTTGTCCAATTTTATAATTGATATATTTGAGGACTTTTCTCCGCAACAATCAATCATAAGAGTGTTAAATTTATATAGTTATATAGCAATTAAAAACATGTATAATATCCTTTAAAAACATGTTTTGGTAATTTAAATACTAAATAAATCATCAATACCGTCGTTAAGGATCAAATTCTCAATGCGAAATTAAGAGCATTACATAAATAATTAAATAATAAAAATTTAATTAAATAAGGTTGATTGGTAGAGAATGCCACTGGCATTAAGTACGCCTTTGTACAGTGTGTGCATGTAGATTAAATAAATAAATAAATACATTAATAACATATTAAATGAAACTAGTTTACGGATGATTTTAATTTCCCGACGTTTCAAACCCTTTCCAGCGTGACGTGAAGCGTGAAAATAAACAAAATAATTGACGGTAGCCGGGGTTAACTATGACATCAAGACGTGTAACAACTTAGTCTGTCTCGTGACCACGAACGCTGAAAAGGTTCGAAACGTCGGGAAATTAAAATCAAAATAAAAACGCGATAAAATCCGTAAACTAGTTTCATTTAATATGTATAATATTCGCATAAAATCAAGAAGTCAACATTAATAACTAAAGCTCAAATGCATTATAAAACTAAGTCGACTAATATGTTTTTAATCGTGAACTGCAGATGTTACCTCTGTCAGACACACTACATATTGACAGATATTATCACTTGAGTACACTTGGAATCGTACTTTGTCTCGAACACAGGCGCAAAGGAGACGATCCTCTCTATATTTTTATCTTCTTATTAAGGACACGTTTTGATGAGTATGCGCGGGGATTACACGCCGTAATTCCACCCTTCCTACCACTATCGGAACACTAAACCCTTTTGTCGTGGGCATTCTTTGCATTCGAACATGCTTTGTCGTATGTAACTTGCACAATAAAGAAGTGGAACGACTTGTTACCGTCTTTCCGTCGGATTATAGTGTGGGTGTCTTCAAGGTAAGCGTAAATACGTTCGGAATTAGCTGCTGTTTCTGTTTCTACTACATACAGTATGCTTTTTCCAATATAGCGGTAATATTAGTTAGGTAGATAATGAAAGAAAAGTTAAAAGTTTTGTATCTATCTGTAACACGTATAGTTACTAAAATGCAAAAAAAGCAAAAAAAATTGCAATGTCTTTTTTTTTAATATTAGGTCGTAGTGTAAACGGCTGTAACTGAGGGAGAACAATTTTATTTAGGTCACGAAAATCTATGCACAAACTAGAATTTTAACTTCATCTCTTTTATAAGGTAATGTAACTGAAGCTGCAAACGGACTATATGATTCTTTTGTTTTTACAATAATTTCGCAATCTGATTTTCAATCTCCTTTTTATCTTCAATGATGCAACTATATGGGCTTTTAATGCAATATTTTTCCACTAACAGATCAATGTGTGTGTGCTACATAATCCGTTACCGTTCCGATGTCATATTTGTCCTATGCAAATATAGAATTCTTGTTCAATATTAATTGTTCTTTTAATTAACTCTATTAAAATTATCTTGTGTCATAATTTAAAAACCTTTTAACTTAAGATCGATTGTAAACTAGTTAAAGACAAGTTTCAGTTATAGTAAGTAGACTTCTCAAACTACTTATTAATTGAAACGTTATGTTTACAAAAAAACTATTTAAAAGTAAAGGTATTGCATCTCATCTGTCGATTACATTTATTATTTATTAATTTATAATTGATTAAGGATATCATAATTCATAAATGTTTATGCAAGTAGATCGAAGTCTTCTGGTTATATTGTCCATTACTGTCGGAATTTGTCGATGGTTTCCGCGTTTGATTTATTATTCTATCATGAATGGCATGCATCACTTCTATCAGATTATTGCAATAGGGCGGTAAACACGCTTAGTTAAGGTTTATTTAACTTTCCCATAGATATCAAAATAGTATCAACAGATTCCTTTTTGATTTTATTAATATGCACTAGTCAATGTCAGTTACGTCTTTTACGAAAAGTTACTATACCATTTTACATTGGGGCATTTATATGGTAAAACAATATTATGTAAATGCCCACGGTCATTTCTAATGAGGACTGCATTAATTCCTTTTCATTTTTATGATTTATTCGTCGTGTAAGGAAGGTAATGGTCTAGTGGGGTATATTTCGCATATATGCAGCAGGGAAAAGTGATTCTGATGCAGGGAAGAGTTTACTCAAAAAATTCGACGTGTTTTTCAGTCCGCATCTTATTTTCGCCATAATTATAATTTCATTATTTATTGTCATCCACGCATTATTTAAATAATATTATACATTATCTGAATATTTTTATATCTGATAATATTTGGAAAAAAAAAACAAAACCGACTATCTCGCTCAGTATTCATTTTATAATTGATTTTCAGGATTTCCCTAAGTATCTCTGGAGCCCAAGATCCAATGCCAATTAAAATTATATGGGACCACATGAGAAGTACCAGCTTTCAAAAAAAAAAAAGAATTATCAAAATCGGTTCACTCAGTCGAAAGTTCTGAGCTAACAAACATTAAAAAAAATACAGTCGAATTCGGAACTCCTCCTTTTTGAAATCGGTTGAAAACTGAAGCAATTTATTGCAGCTAAATAAAACAAACAAATTTATTATACACATTTAATAAACAAGTACCTATTAAATTAGAGCTTTAGGGAGAGAGAGAGAACTTTACAACGGTTTCACTTTTATGGTAACTGACTTAAAATTCATTGCCTCGTTTAATACTGACTATATCACTAGAACTTCATTGGCTTGTTACAAAAAGACCAAAAACATATGGCACATAAAACCTAATCATAACGACGTACTCGTTGCAATCAACTGCTTGATAAACACGTCCCATTTGCAGTGGAACAGGTTGAGCAGTGTCGTTTTGCTGTCCCCTTCTAACGTGCTGTAATTTATAGAGTTCATCGCCAGCTGTTTGAGGAGGCGCAAGTCGGCACGCCGGCTCGCGATGCCAACGAAGGTTATGTAGAAGTCGTGAGATAGGGGGTCCGCGCCCCACACGCCTGGGTCGTCGCTGGATAGCACAACCGGCAGGCCGAACGCTAAATACGTCGCCAGCGGGTGGTTCCTCACATCGTGGACCAATGACAGCACGACATTCGACACCACGTTGACCTCCAACGCGATGTCCTTCTGCTTCACCGCCACCATAAGCGACGGGTGCTTTGTCAGCGCGTACGCGTGCCCTATACGCTTTGAGCCCAGCAGTACGGCGTCGAAAAGGTTCTCGTCGGTCGCCGTTCCGTACCAGTTACTCTCGCCCGCGTGGAAGTAGTACCGCAGGTCTTCGCGCGCGTGCGTCAACAGGGGCAGCATATCTGCCAACGGCCTCCCCAAGTCCTCCTGCCCGACGAGATCGAAGCCCGCATAGAACTCCGGCATCTCCCTTTTGATTTGACGCGCCATATCCACGGCCCGCCATAATTGCTCGTCCGACTTCAATCTGTGCCTGGTCACAATCAACTTGACGCCGACGAAGTCCGGATACGCTTGTTTAAATCGCTCCGTCACTCGACTGTACAATCTCGGCATGAATAATCTGTCGTGTACGGTGCCGTTCAACTCGTAGAGACTGTGTAGGCCGCTTCTGATTTCTATGTACTGTATGTTGTCGTTGTAGAACTCATTCAGGGCTCGGTAAAAGAATTTTTCCCTCACCGGTCTGTACGCGATTAGATCGGCTATAGTGCTAGTGACCTTCTCGAACCTCGTCCAGATCGAGTTTATGTCGTTAGATTGGTCACAGCCGAAGTGTGAATCGAGGGTGAAATGTGATTTCAATATAAAATCGAACTCTGTCACGTTGTCGGCGGAGATTCTTAGCTCGCTGAGAAGTTGCCATTCAACAGGACAAGGTCTTTGGGGCGTGTCGCTCGAGAATTGAAACTTCAATTCATCGTGTACATAACAAACGTATAAGTGATCCTCGTACGTCAGCTCCAACAATGCACCAGCACTCAGCATCAACGAGCTATGGACGTGTAGAACGGCGCCTTTAGGCATCCGCCTTATGATCTGGTACACCTTCGATCTCGATATGTCGTCGCGATACGCGAAGTAGTGTTTCGAGAAGTTGAACGTTTGCGGATCGCGGAACGACTCGTCGACCTCCGTCCGCTTCCAGTGCATCAGAATCTCACTGGCCTCCACTTCCTCGTCGCTGAGCGTTAGCCCGCTGCCCAGCTGCATCTCCAGCTCGCCCTCGATCAGACTGATCCGGTCTTCGCTGTAGCGGTTCAGGATGCTCTTCGCCGGCGACAGGCCGAACATCGCGCACGAAACACACACCGTGAAAAGGAAGCTCATTATGACACTAGCGTTATCGCGTCGGACGGGTCAGTCGGTAACATTCCGCGTTCGGCCACAATCGCACTGACTCCGGAATATGTCGTTCATGTATATATATAGCTCGGTGTACACAGTAAGGAGATTTCATCTGGTGGCCGTTTGTTATGCCAGTTCGCAGATGTGGCGAGAAATTGCTGTAGGGATAAAAGTTATAAAGTTGTACGCACGCACTCAACTGTCCATTGTTATTACATTTCTTTTTGATATCAACTTTATTTTTGATAGCGAGGTAGTAATTCAAGTATGCATGTAATAAATTTAGTGATAGCATGATAAACGGTTTACGAAAATAACACGCACAGATAAAGATCGTGTGAATTCTTTAACGGCCGATTATAATAGAATATGGAACAGAGAGCAATTATGTAGTTATATAATATTACAATGCAATGGATTACATTTACACATTGGATGTATTGCGTCCCATAATAAATTATACCGTTCTGTTTCTGAATGATGTGCACGCGCGAAATCGAAGCTAATGATTAAAATATCTATATATTAATACGTGAAAAACTTTTTACGAAAATTGCACGGGCAATTATATAACGCAATAGTTATAGTTAATATAGAGGAGTGCGCAATGCTAATATCTTTTAAAATATGTATAAAAAATATGCATAAAAATGCATTAAATGAATAAAAAAGACGTACTACCATGCATAATAAATTATGGTCCAATTTCGACCACTTGGCGACCACTAGTAAAATAAAACTGTCATAACTATCTCCAATAATATTCATTCCCGTTTCCTCAAGTTTCGAGTGTTTTACTGAACTTGGGCTGAAGTGTTTGACATTTCCATCGCATTAATATTACAAAGAGTGATATCGAATTGAATTTATTGTTATTGCTTGACGGAACTATTCACAATTATTTATCTATGGTGCGGCGGTAACAGGAAAAACGTATTATTTGCAAAATATTACGTGATAATGGATCGCTAAAGTAATTTAATACAGATTATTTTCTTATATAAAACCGTAAAGCAAGTTACTGACAAAATACCATTTGAGAGAATGCTATATTATGATAGCTTAGATATTTTTTTTTATTTTTTATTATTCGAAATCTACGAAGAGGAGGGTAGTATTTGATCCATATAAATTATGGTGCGATAGAAGAATAATTTACATGTAACAAAACTCAACCAAATACTAGTTTCACGCGAACTGAAAAACTTTTGAATATTAAAAGAAAGCATATCTTCGAAACTATAGATCGTAGATGATTAAACATTTTTTTTCTTTTTTATACACGTATTACATCATGTTTATTACTGTCTTTTGCTGTACACAAATAATGTTTCTTAGGATACAGGAGTTAAATAGGAAACTTATACTATTCGTCCACTTTTCTACTAATTTTTAAATTTAATCTTAACTGCAGAGAATAGCACTATAAAAAATAATAAAAAGTAACCTTTAAGAATCTTAAAGAGTTGATCTATCTGCCATCATTACTTCACTCACGTTTATTCCACTTCTGAAAGAAAGTAATGCTGTGAAACAATAGTGGGTGGTCGCTGAACACTTGTTAGTATGTAGTTGCCACTTGAGAACCTTCTTCCTATATCAATCATTTGTTCGAACTATACAGACAGCAGTCCATATTGCTAATCCGTTAAAATAAACAATAATTTTCGTTAATGCGATCCAATCAGTTTCACTTCCTCGGTTTATATAAGCCAAATGCACAAAAGTAGCTCAGAATTTTATTTTAATAGTTAAAAAAAGGTCATGTGTTATGTTATTATTAAAAATATTTAACTGATGAAGTTACGTGGCGAAGCCAAAATTACGTAGATTTCGGATTAATAACGTAATAAATGAGGTGGATTATCTTTACTATTTTCATGTAATACATTATGAAATCACAACAAGTCGTGATGACCATTGCTACAAACCAGCTCTTATCATTTCTACGTAAATATACAAACAGAGGTTTCCTCCAGTCGAAATGTTAATTCTATAATGTTGTTATACCGTCTTGCATCTGCAGCACAAATAGGCTGTTTTCTCTTAGCTTTAACATTTCGTTTGCTCCTCTAAAGTCTATTAAACGGAATTTCCAACACTCATTTTTTTTCTTTATTGGGAGTTTTCGTTTTCGTCCAGCCCCATGTGAATTGCGAATGCGACGAGAAATTTTGCTCAAGAATATATTATATATATTTAAATTTCATCCTAAAGGCAAAGACTAGCACTATAAATTAAAATATTCTTTTATTTAATGTACATATTATATTATATTATATTTTATTTCTTCTTTATTGAAAATCGTACAAGGAAAAAAATTATGCTTTTAGGTTTCCTCTTCCTATTATATGATTCTAAGCTTCAATGAAAGACATGCTCACAATAACATCTTGTAATGAATTATATCACGAGGAAACTTTCGTTGCCTTGTGCCTCTTTAACAATTATCATTTTTAAATAATACTAAAGCGTCTTTTTAAATCAGATCGATTTAAAACAGAACACTAGTTTGATTATTCAGACTAATTCAGTCTATTTCATTACATGAAAAAGTATTAACATTTAATTCCACCTAAAATAGGTATTGTATATAAAATATGATTATTCCGTGGCGGAATTGCCAAGGTATTGGTTTCAACGCTGGGTTTGGCAATTAGGTTCGTTGTAAATCGTCTTCACAACCCGTGATAAGGTTATCCTACATTAAGGGCAATGTTTAAAAAAAATAACCATGTATAGTACGCACGTAAAAACAAGAAATCAATCAATATGAATAATATTTTGGGTGCCAACCGCAGCATTTTTCGCTGCATTCGCTAAGGACATGGGACTGAAACAAAAATAAAGGGTAACATGATTAAAAGCAATTTGGTTCATTCCAAGCTTATTATTTTGTATATATTAAAACTTATGGCGATTAATTAATACAAATAGGATTCAAAGAGAGGCCGAAGAACTGTGATTTAAATAGGTGACTAAAAAAAATTGATAAGTAAGGTTAGGATTTTGATTTTTAGTTTATTTCATCCCTGCTAGACTTAAGTAAGACGCGGCAAATGTTCACTCGGTCTACTGAACAATACAAATATTACAAGTGCCTATATCGCAAGCGAAATATCGGTGAAATTTCAAGGCTGTTCGTTACGTAAAATAATGCGATACAATTTTTATTACTAGGGCTCCGGTATTTCAACGATGTGTTTTGCAATCGCCTCCGTGTCATTCACTTCGTGTTACGCGTTTGCATAGCGAAATTCGCCGATGACGTCCGTCTTTGATTTGAACTTTATTATAACTGCAATAAAACTGTTCGAATTGGTTCTTCGCAACTTTTTAGACACACTAAACACCGTGTATCCACCGCAACTATGCATGTCTTTAAGTTGACGATTATCCAGGCTGGGTTTAAAACCCAAGTGCATGAAACAATAATATCTTATCAGTGGTTCGGATGTCTGGCGTGACTAAGTCAGTGTCACTGCATAATATGCGCCAGTGGCGGCCAAACTTTTTCAAAGCTAGTACGCAATAAACGTTCAAAACGGGCGTTTTGTTAGAGATTTAAATTTTACCTGATTTCATTTCTAAATCACATAGCCGGCTAGGATATTCAAATCTTGAAGAAAAATGTAAATTTACCCTTTTTGTTCAAGAAATACTTTTATTTCAAACACTGATTATCGTAGTAATTAACTAGTCGGCTGTCAAATGGCTTCTCGAATGTCATTTGAGTGCAAAAAGGATGGTTGAATATGTAAAAGTTGATCAGAACGATCAGAATAATCAAAGAGTTAAGCCATCTTTTTGGAAACGCAAATGATGTTTGAGAAGCCATTTGAGAGCTGATTAGCTAATTTCTACGGTGATCAGTGTTTCAGAAACCGAGCGTTAGTGAGTCAGATATGTTGGCAAAGGGTTTGCTCACGTATAATGTAGGTGCCTACGCCTCTTTAATACGCGTTAATCCAAGCACATTAATTTCTGACATAAAATTGCCCAATTAAGATCGACTGTGTTGTATTATTGAAGTTATATAGTCACAATAGTTAATAAGTACTGCCCAATATTCAATTTTATTAAACTCGTTCATCAATAGTCTACAGGTACAGAAGTTGCTCAGTGAAATAATTCTGTTTTTACGTTTTTTTTAAATTATTAAACTAATATTGTTGACCACGATTGTAGTTCCATAGTAGATATTTATCATTATTATTTGAAAACGAGTCAATTATTTGGTCACGAGGTAGACAAACTGTTCTATATTCATGTAATAGTATCAAATCACAGCAAGTCGAGATATCTGGCCATTGTAACAAATCACATCTTATCATTGGGTACTAAGTACCTTCGTAAATATACAAATATTGTATTGTTCCGACTGACACAATACCCTCCTGTCAATATATTTATTAAAAAATGTAAAATTTTATTTCATAATTTTTTAGAGGGTTAATTAATAAAGAAGTGGCAAAAGTCTAAAACATATGACAAAGACACAAATTTAATTAAAACTTTTGCATATTACTTCAATTTGTATCTAGTTCATCTATTGGATATTGGGAACTTTTTTTCATTTATAGAGGCAGATACAAATTAGACGTCACTTAGTTCATCCTACACATTTTTCGTTTGAGCTACAATTGGTTGCCATGACTCTCTGTAACTGACGTCTACGTCTTAGAAATACTAAAAAGTTATAAATGAAATACGGAATCGGTAGTTATAGTGAATTGAAACAAATGCGGATGGAAGATAAAGTCCTCCGGTGGTACAATTGTCTTTGTCACCTCCTGTAAATATTACGCTATTAATATTTACAGAAGGCGGCAAAGATAATGTATCGCTATTAAATAATATAATACTGATATTAGGGAATTCGCGAATACTTTTGACGACCCCTACATTTTCCGAATTCTCAAGATTTTTTTTAAATGGAACGTGCACTTCTCTAGGCGCCTGGCCTGGACCTTTATTCTTAA